CACGAAATTTTGTTTTGTGTGACGCCATTCCAAGCCAGAACAAACTACGAACTAAACATAATGATGATGCATTCCATGTCGATATCGAGAGCGGCGACCTGCTTCTGCTGAGGTATGGTTATCGATGTGTGCAATATTACTGCACCGTACTCTAAAACACAAACATTAGCCACTTATGACGTAATACGCAATTAATGTTAATGTTTTGGAATTGTTAGGTTATTTAAATTATGAAGTAAATAAAATGAATAAATTTAATATCACATAAATAGCAATTATTCGTTCTAATTTATTCAACAACGACTACAAATACTTTTAGGTTCATTTGTTTCTAGTGTTCGGTTGTCTACTCTGTCAAAATTGAGTGTGTGAAACACGTGTGTTCAAGAGACCATCATTTTTTAATCATAACTTTGGCTCTATTGTTTACATAAATAAATGAGTTAATTTTCTAGTCAAATATTGTTTAGTTCAATTGAAGTTGATGTACGTGATGCAAATACCAATGTTATATTAAAAACTAGTATACTTGTTCACAAAAACATAAATCAATACGATTAAATAATACTGATCGAGGAGTGATGGATTTACTTCAATCTATTAAAAGGAAATACAATAAACGTTACATAATATGAAATGTGGACATATATGCCACTTGATTAATTTTTAAATAAAATTTACGAAATTGTTTTATTTCACCTTTTTCCTTTTGTATTTGTAGTATAGTGTCTTAGCCGTTTGTCTACGAAGCAATTATGCCAGGAGTAAAGAAATATGAGTTCCAACTTAAAGAACGAGGCAGCCTTTGGACAATTCAATTGACGTTTTGATCTTTTACATATGGGTCTGTAGCAATCTGTAGTTGATAAAACATCAATAAGTTACATATTTTCACACAAGATTTGGCTGTTTGGATGGTGTTCCCTTAACCTATCCAAGGATAAACAAAACGAAAAACAATGTACAGAGGAATGTAACACGAAACTTTTGGCCGGGAACGCGGGTAGGTATATAATCTTCAGTAATTGTATCTTCATAATAATCGTGGCTAATTAATTGTGTAAGGACTTGTGAAATGACAAGTGTGGGAAAACGAAACTGGAAAGTGTCTGGACTAGATATCACAGTTTTTCCGAAAATTCCAGAAAGTTGGCTGGTTGTTGAACTGCTAATTAATAAGACAAATACATACTCCTACGGCAGTCTGTTAAAATCATCTAAGTGACGTTCTGTACTCACTTCCGTTTTTGTCAAAATTTCGCCTTAATTTTGAACGTTGTGATGGTTTTCGTCCTAATTTTATCTCATTACCACATTTTTACATAGTGCAATACAAGGAGGGAAGAAAGAAACGAATTAAAGATTATCCTTGTCAAATGAATTCGTTAACTTATATAGCTTCGCCATTTCTAGATTAGGTTTGTTACGCCATGGTAATAACAAGGTACATTGTTATTAAAACGGTCTGCTTACCTTAAGCATGGGCATTAAGTTGATATCCTACTAACTATTAATCAAAAATTCTCGTAGCTAAGTGACACCGTGGGGATTCAAAGCGCCTCTCCACCTCTTAGAATAATTATTTTGAATGCAAAAAAAATCATAACTTATAAACAACCAAAAATATTATTCTTACGCTTTTCTAAATCACTAGTTTGCATTCTAAGTGTCTCAAAAATTAAATTTAAATGAACAAAATGTATAGCACACATACAGTAGTTTTTCCGATGTGCGCATGCTAGAAGTGGGTATTCTGAAAAAATATACACCTTCTCACTGAAGCAGATAATTAATTATTTGAAGACATACCAAATAATAAAAAACATCAATATAATACTTTACGTATATGATAGTAGTACCTAGGTAAATTAACATACAATTAGTCATGTAAATTATAATGATTAGGAAATATACTCATGACAAACAGGAAATTAGTGGGTACTCAGTGCCCGATATAATCGACAGTAGAGAGACAAGTGAAGCCTCTATTATTCTATATATTTATTGATGGTAGTTTTTCCAACTTTGACAAGATGGATATGACACATAAAACTGCAATTTTCACCCAAACAATTACATATGGACTCATATGACTGACTCTGACTACTAAATGTTTTACGAATACCTTCGTTCACTTTAAACAATGATTCAGTATTAAAATCAACAGTACGGTAGGTATACAACTGCAGTATCTGTCATTTGATTTATACAGATTAACGTGAACATCATTATCCTGCCCTTCTCCTAGTCATCTGAGGTCGGCGCAACATGTTTTCTCCTTCCATACTCTTCTGTTATATACCATTTCTTCACTCACTCCCCTCTTACCCATATCGTCTTTCACGCAATCCATCCATTTATTCTTAGGTCTACCTCTTCCTCTATATCCTTCCATATTCATAGTTAACATTCTCTTACCAACCTCATTTTCATTTCGTCTCATTACATGTCTATACCATCCCAAACGCGCGCTTCTCAGCTTCTCTGTCACAGGTGCCACATTCAGACTTCCTCTAACATATTCATTCCGTATTCTATCCATTCTCGTTACTCCACACATCCATCGCAACATTCGCAACTCTGCTGCATGCAATCGCCTTTCATCCGCCACAGATCACAGATTAACGTGAACATATTTTTTAATAATATGCCGTTACAGTTACGGGTATAGAGAGATTTCTACTAGGGAGGAGAAGAGAAGGCGAAGTTCACCGCACATGTGAACGGTCTCAGGCGACGTGAGGGCGAGATCGACAGCTTTCCTTTTACATTACTGATTTACTGATTCACAAGATGATTTTTTTAAAACGTTACGATTCATGCCGGTTTTATTAAACTCAATGTTATTCTGAAACATGAATTTGTTAAATTTACATACAAATTTATTACTATTTTTAGAAAGTATCAAATACGTTAGTTCCATCTGTAAAACTGTATATCAAAATTACAATATAAAATTAACCTCATTCAAGTAATATAAAATTGCCTTCATGATAGAATAATGTCGTGTAGTAAAAATCAAACGCAATGCTTGTATAGTTATATAATTAATGGGGATTGGGCGTTTTGTGAGCACAGGACAGTAATGCACTTACGGTTGTGACTTTCGATCTCATGCCTTGAGTTGTAGCAGCATGCGCATCTTAATGTAAATTGTTATTTTATTTCAGTAAATATTATGTACCAGTAACCACTTAACACCAGATAGGCCATAAAGTAGTCCACACAGCTAAGCAATAAAAAAAAACAAGTCCCAGCATCTTTATTGACGAGCGTAGTCTTAGTTAAATAAAGCAGAGACGCGACGTATTTAATACGAAATAAAATATTGCATTCTCACACATAGAAATACTTGCAAAACAAAATAAGAATCTGCTGTTTTCAAGCAATGAAAAAAAAAATAACACCTGCTATATTTACTTTATGTTAGACTTAGCACTCTCCATTTCGAAGACAGCGCCATTAATAATTCAAAAGATTTCACGGTTACAACACTTTAAAAAAAATCAAAGAACCAAGTCAAACATCCTTGAACCTAAATCGTGACCTTAATGGTTGTGATTTGCAAGTTATAAAGTGGAATAGCTTTAATAGATACCTACTCTGCTCTGAGGAATAAACCATGTATTCCGTGTCAACTATTTGTGAAAATGTTAAGATTTTTATCTAAGATGTATGATTTACAAAGCGCAATGGCGCCAACAGATATGATAATAAATAGCACGCGTATTACGAACCATATTAAAGATAGCTTTGTCTACTTCAGAAATACACATATTAATTACCCTTCAACTATAAAATATGAAACTTTTAAAGCCATTTAGGCAAATACAATAATTGCACATATTGGATAAAAACACAATTATATTCCTGAGGAATAAACTAGTTCATAAAACATGTTTGCCGAAAAAATTCTATTATTATTTTTGTTTCAATTTATTAACAAGCACACAACCTCTTACATCGGCAAATGGAGCAGAAATGTGAAATGAAAGAGCTCAAAGAGCTGATACGAGCTACTATTTTTTTTTTGTTCACCCAATAAAACGAGAGAGCTGGCGTATATTTTGTCTCGGTCGCACTCATGCGGACGCGCTCAATGCCGGCGCTGTCGGCGGTAGCTTCCCGCGAAAGCTAAAACTATACAACGCCATTTTGTTGTCAGCCGTGAACGCGTTAGCATTTGCTGTGAACAGATTGTGATCGTAAATTTTAAGTGAAATGTGTTATTGAACAAATTTAATGAAACCTAAAGATATTTATTTGTGATTAATGAAGTAATTCTACTAGAATGCCGCCTACAAAAAATCAAAAAGGTATTTACGTCGATACTTTTCCGAGTCTTCATTCTCCTTATGACGGCGAGTCGCGGCGGACGTGTCACCAAAGTTAAATGTGTACAAATAAAATCGCGCGGCGACGCTTACTAATTATTGAATCTAGTCGAATAATTCAATATGCTGTGAAATTACATATTTTGTAATTAATAATAATTTAACATTAAATATTTTTTTTCTGAGCAAAATAAAATCGATAGCCATATACCGATTTTAAAAAAAATGAACTTAGTAAAAATTGTGGATAAACTATTTTTTCTAACTTATCCAATTATAGCCCAGAATAAAAAATATATTAGTGTACATTTATTGCATCGCTTATCGCAAAAAAAGTTATTTTAAACTTCATTGTAGAAAAGTGAACATGTAATTTGCAAATATTAAAAATAAATTAGATTATTTTTATAACTGTCGTTGGAATGGAATGTGTCCTATGACATCTTAATAATATTAGTATATTAATATATCAATATAATAATGAATAAAAATATATTATTTAACAAAAGTACAATGAAATTTTTGTTGCATTTTAGTTTCATTTGGATTTGATAATTGTGAGCACGCCGACTTATTAAAATACAATAGATAAAATATAACGCTAGTTACATGTCATTCACTGGCATATTTAACGAACTAAATTCTAAACAACTTTTTTGTACTTACTAAATATTATTATTTTCGTGATGTTTCACATGAGCACGACCGCTCTACTTTAATGTTGTTCGATAATGATTCATTTTGTTTGTAGTACGTAATAGAATGATGGCGCACCTCCTTGCTAGATGATCTGAATTCTGAATTAACATAATGGTGGAATGTGAAAAAGAAACAATTATTTAGATCAATAATATGCATGAGGCCCATGAGCACTAGCATATTCTAGAATTACCACGATTTCGTTTTATTCCGTATTCGTTCGGTAAAACCCTTTTTTGTTTTTTATTGATTAGTGAAATATAAGCAAGCCCAGCTCGCTAAATATATGACATATTTCCTGTGGATCTTAATTCTTACAAACTTTGTTCTGGTAATTTTATTACGAACTAGCGACCCGCCCTCGCTTCGCTTCGGAAACTGTAATTTATTATTGAGTTCTCCACTATTTAATGGATGTTATTATGCATATATTCAACCACTCTATCTATTAAAAAAACCGCATCAAAATCCGTTTTGAGTTTTCAAGATTTAAGCATACATAGAGACAGAGAAAGCGACTTTGTTTTATATTACGACGAGTATGTAGTGATAATTAAAAGCTGAGCTGATCTTAAGTTCTTCGTCGTACATAATACAATTTGACGAAAGATTTTTATTTATATATATATTTTATTGCTTTTAAAATGATAAATTGTATTACAGTATATCTACTAGAAGTTGAAACTTGTTTATGTGCTTTTCAGTTCAAATATTTGATGGGGCAGGTAGAGATGGGTTATCTATATACTAATACGTGAAGCAAAAACTTTATAAACCTTGTGATTAAAGATAGAGACGGAGTGTGCAGAATGTTAATATTTTTTTAAATTATCCATAAAATTGGCATTGCTGAAGTCCATGGGCGACGGTAACCACTTACCATCAGGTGGGCCGTACGCTCGTCTGCCTACAAAGGCAATAAAAAAATCAATAAATAAAAATACTACACACACTACCATGTATTTTGACACACACGCGCATGCATACTATTTGAGTGTACAAACTTTAATTTCAATGAATTATAGTCGAATTTCGACGACCACAGGATTACTAGTTTCAGTAAAAACACGAGCGCTTAATAAAACTCGTCCGTTGATACGAGTATGTGCCGGTCCGGTAAGACTCTGAAGCGCTCAGCTATGCTGCGCATACATTCTGTATTTACTCTACCGCAAATTATCAGATTATTATTATTCCTGTAACACCCTCGTTACACAGAGATAGTTAAATAAAATCGCGGTATCCACATCGAGATAGTAAACGCCCTAGTTCTTCAATTGGGCATTCAAGGTCATAAAATTAACGTCACTCTGCTCTAGTAGAGTCAAGACAAGGACAATAATGAGTTGGGACACTCATGACTGGAAGTTTATTGGAGGCTAGTAGTTTGTATCGCTATATAGAACGGAAAATTCAGAAAATGTGGGTTTTCATCTGCTAAGTAGAGTTATTTCTAAGATCACGTATGAAATTTCACCTGGTAACATAGGTATATTTAGGTCAGACGTACTGTAAGGTAGACGACAATCCATAAATAATACATATAAATAAGTTATAGATAAGCAACTCAAGCACTCAGCAAAAATGATTACGGGCGTCGGCCATTAGATGGCCTCGCTTCAATTAGTTTCTCATTGCTCCTGTAGATGGCAGTAACATATTACCTATCCTTTTTATTTTAAATGAGGAATTTTGTAAATTTTCAGACAACACAAATTGATAAAATTTAATCAATTTGTCCATAACAAACAAAGACTTGTATGATTTATTAATTGTTTAGTTTCTGTGTTTAGTTAAACATTAATGAAATGCTTTAGCTTTAACAACATATAAGCTTAGGGGCATCCGCTACAAGATGTCGCTAGATTCCATACAAAAAAAAAATTGTCATAGAGTATCACAGTTTCAAGACCCTGAGACAATATACGCTATTAACGGTTAAAAATACCAATAACTCATAACGCTGCCTGGAAGATAATCATTATAACCAGTTTTTTATATATTACCTAGACCGTTTATAAATAAGTATTTAAAAATTTATTATTGATAACTACGCTATTCTTGCTGCTATTGCATACTATAGTAACGTCACTTGGTGTATAGAGTAATCAAATTTGAATTAGCTAATACTGTTTGTTTCTCGAAAATTCAGGGCGTTTATTTGGATTATTATGAGGTTTTTTCGATAAGAGTAATATAAATATGTAAATACAATTAGAGTATCTATGTTTGTCCAGAATTATTAAATATTACTATCCATTTTTTACTTTTCAAAACGTATGCTGTATCACATTTTTGAGATTCAATAGTAATTCTAGATAGATTCAATTCTTTTTTTTTTTTATTCAATGCATAAGCGATGATTTTCATATCTCAAAACGTTTTGTTTGACGTACACTTTAGTGCTCAAGAGGGAAACTTTTCGTCCGCGATCTGGCTACACTGACTTCGATAAGGATTCGGGAGAAAAATGCAACCGTATTTATCGACTGTATCTATGGAAGATAGAATGTACACAAATAACCTACTTTCTGCATCCACTAGATGGCACCGTTTGTCAATGCCTGAACAACTTCATAACCGTGATATTTTCATTTTCTGAGCTTTTTTTCCTACCTATGCTGATAGCCTTGAGAGGCTATTTCAGCTTCATCCTAACGTGTGTAGGTGAGCTCACGGGGCTCAAACCGGAGTGTTGCTAACACTGACCCTAGCAAGAGCAGTACAGTAAGCGGCACGTAAGTTGGCAAGGTTTTGGTGTAGTGGGGGTAATGTCGCGCATAGTGTACGTTGCAACAAAAAAATGGTCACTTTTATTGCCCGCATATAATTTAATTTTATAAAAAAAAATATTTGCTATAATTTATTTTTAAGCCTGTGTGTTTAGAAGAAAGTCAAAGAAAGGAGGAATTCGTGAAGTGTATTAGGTGTTATAAATAAAATACAATTGAAAGTTAAAAAGTTTATTTAAAAAAATATACTTAATATTGAAAATTATGTGTCGCCGTCGTCACTAACATTTTCTAATAGTGCTACCCCTTGGATTAAATTTATGGTAACACCTGAGCACCGTAACTAAAAACTCAATATAAACAAAGGGTTCCTACAACTTTAGTAGGCGCATGTGTGACAGGGAGCGAACAGAACGTGGACGCGGTGCGGGAGGGGAGGGTCGACTGACTCACCAATCGCGCGCTCGGAACGGTGCTACGTCTTTCCCCGCGTCCCGTTTGACAACCAAAGAGACCTAAAAAACGACTTCTGTGCATCTAGCGACTCTTGCCAAGTTACGTGCCGGGGACTATACTTCGCTGAATCTACCACCGGGTCGGTGACCGGTGCTTGTGGTGCCTAAAAGTACCATTAATGGATCGGGAGGATCCGTAATGACGTGCTTTGGTCGACGTCGACTGTTATGTCGACTGTTATGTAAAATTTTGCTTACTACATAAAATAATGATGCTCAGAACCCGATTCTGTAGACCGAATGGTAAACAGTCGTCGTCGACCCCGCTACCGCCTCGTTCGATGGTTTCACGATTGTCGTACGGGGCAAATACGTGCTCGCGCCGCGGAGTGCCGTAATAACTTCACCTCTTCAAAATTCTCAAAAGCCGCGAATACTTCACGCCCGCCCGTTAAAGCCCCCGAGTCGACCTCGGCCCAAGGGGGACCACCAAACGTTCAAGCTTTAAAAATACAAGGCCCGCCCCACTAATACTCCAAGTCAGTGTAAAACCACGTCTCTTGCGCCCTCTTCTCACTAAAGATTAACTATACCAATGCACGTAACCTCGCACGTGGGATCCAAATTAAAGTCCTCACCCCCCAACGACCACCGCACTCTGTCTCAATGCTTTCCAAAGGAGCGTATAGGATATCACTCTTACACGCTTAATCTTCACGAATAATCGAAACGGATTTAAGGGAGCGATAGTTCCCAGCAACCGGCGTGCACCACATGCAAAGCAGCCGGGGAAAGTTCCTCTACAATATCGTGCCCGATTACCGCCCCTCCAGCCCTCTGCTATAAGTAACCTCGCTCTAGCATGTGATTTCATCTCGGCTGTCAACATTGATGGGCTCCGTTCGTTCGCCGACGCGATCCGCTAGTGGACAACTGCGGAAGAACGACTCGCCACGCGTTCGAGCATAAGGACGTGTACGAGGCCGTATCTCGCACGCTCTCGCGATAGAAACAATTTATAACGCACGAGTAAAACCTTTTTTCTGTTAAGTTAGCGTTTTTCAAAGCAACGGCCTCGTGCGACAACGGGACCAAATCTTTGAATTCCTCCGCGAAAATCAATATGATCTTTTCTTGGTTCAGGAAAGTCTCCTTAAGCTCTCACGTCGCGACCTTAAAATCGCAAATTTTGTCATGGTTAGGAATGACAGAATTCCCGCCCCTAAAAGGCTGCCATTTATTACACATCGCACTCGATCCCCCTCGTTTTCTCACATCGAGACATCAGTCTACCGCATCTCACTGAAGGACACCAATCGATCGTCATCGCATCTGTGTATCTCCCCTGCGGAGTATTTTCTAGAGCTTTCTCGAGTCGTAGACTACTGACTGATGTTAGCACAATATTCAAATGTTAACCCACTAAAAAGAACGTTACGCCTATTTTAACTTGGAATAGTGATATTATGCTTTAGTGTACAATCAATTAATTGGACTACTTTTTCCTCTTTTTGAACAGATATCTCGAACGTCGATGAACTAGACAAGTTCAAACGTCGGATGATTCGGTCGTTGGCTCGGTCCTTGATACACGAGAAGAAACCAGAAGATGAAGTCTGGGAAATGATGAAGAAGGAGACAGGTTGCGGATGTAATATGCTCTGGTGAGTAATGTTGGCTGTGTGTTGATAATAGCGGTTTTTGTTACTAACAATTATGTTGAATTATGCAAATGAACTGGTGGTATGTCGTGAAGCAGTTATGGTTCCTTTAGTTTCAATTTTGGAACAGTCTATATATTAATACGTGAAGCAAAAACTTTGTATCCCT